AAGCCCGGGGGGTCCCCACCCCACAGTCTGAGGCCCCAGGGGGTCCCTACTCCACACTCTGAGGCCCACTCTGAAGCCTGGGGGCTCCTCACCCCACACTCTGAGGCGCCAGGGGGTCCCTACTCCACACTCTGAGGCCCCAGGGGGTCCCCACCCCATACTCTGAGGCCCACTCTGAAGCCCGGGGGGTCCCCACCCCACACTCTGAGGCCCTGGGGGCTCCTCACCCCATACTCTGAGGCCCAGGGGGTCTTTACCCCACACTGAAGCCTGGGGAGTCCCCACCCCACACTCTGAGGCCCCAAGGGGTCCCTACTCCACACTCTGAGGCCCCGGGGGGTCCCTACTCCACACTCTGAGGCCCGAGGGATTGCCCACCCCACTCTGCCATACTTGCCTCATAAGCTCAAACTCTCCATCAGGGGGGATGAAACTGATGCTTCGCTCAGAGTCAAACTTGCTGAGCCTCACGCACTGGTGGAAGGTGCAGTCATCTATGGCGATGGACTGCTTCCCGCTGTGGGCAGACGCAAAGGCTTGAACAGGGAATGGAGAGGGAAGGAGGGGGAGACAGGGCCCGAGCTCTTCTGGCCTAATCAGGTCTTTGTGGGGAGAGATGGGCCTTCTGAGGAAGCTGGGCCGAGGAGTCGCCCAAGGGCTGAAGCTGGAGAAGCTCGGCCCCATTCAGCCGGGGGAACCCAGCCGAGAACCTAACTCCCTGGGCCGCGGCTGCTTGGCAGTGCCATCCTTCCTCTGAGGCTCAGAATAGGGCAGAGAGGGACATCCGGCCCTGGGGCCTGGGGCTGATGGCATCAGCCAAGTCTCCCCTCCCCGAAGGCCTGCGCTCCGCACACAGAGCCTCCCTCCCACCTCGAGGGTCTCTGCCCACCTCTTGCCAGTCTCATCAGCCGTGCCCTTGCCCTGCTTCTCGATGACGATCTTGTCGTTCATGCCAAACTTGCACTCCGGCATGCCGCTCAGATAACTCTTCATCACCACGCGGCCAGACACGTGGGCGCTGAGCACCTGCCCTGGAGGAGGAGGGCAGGAGAGTCAGGCCTCCGCGCCAGGGCCCGCCCCAGGACTCCCGTGGGAAGCCCGCCTCTCACCCTGGGGAGACATGAGCAGGTTGACGCTCTCCAGCACGTCCAGGAAGAGCTCATTCCGGCGATATTTGATGCCCTCACGCCGCCAGCCAATCTGCCCCGTCACCTGGCTGGTGATCTGAGACTGTTCTTCCTTCGTCTAGGAGGAGGGGGGGTTGGTAGGGTCACAGGAAACTTGCGCAGCTCCCGCCCCCCCCTTTGAGCTCCCCTGGAATCCTGCCCACCCAGCCCCCCAAATCCAGGGAGGAGCCCAAGGGAAGGACACTGAGGCACCAGCCTACCTGATGCTGAAGAAATGCCACAGGGAGGAGGAAGGGAACCAGGAGAGCCAGCATCGGAGCGGAGGAAGGAGAGGAGGAAGGCGGTCAGGGCCAGCCCCAGGGGACACCCACCCGCCCGCTGGCCCACCCCGGGGCCCCCAGACCAAGTCCCAGAAAAGAGTCAGTCGTCCCAGGCACAGGGACCCCCCCCCCCAAGGGCTGCATTTCCTCTTGCCTCCTCCCTACAAAGAAGCAAAGAGCCGGAGCTAAATCCTCGAAAAAGGGGCACAGGCTTGGCCCATCTCCAGCTGGCAGAAGGCCAAGCAGCCTCTCGGAGAAGAGTTGGTAACCATGGCGACAGGGCCAGCCCTGCACTTCCCATCGGGGCGCGTGACCGAACCATGCCAAGGTTCTGGTACCTGGCTCTTAATGCCCTGCTGAGTGATGAACGTTTTCAGAGCTCCCGTCTCCGAGTTCTGGGGGTAGCCGAAGTCCAGGATCTCTGCGGGGGAAGAGGGCTGTCAGTGGCAGAGGCGAGCCTCTGGAGGGAAGGAGCCTGGCCTCCAGCCGGCAGGTGGAAGACCCACAGGGCACCCTGGGCCACGCCCTCGCGGCTCCCCGCCTGGCCAGGGCCCCCTCACCGTCCAACAGCTCGTAGATGAGCACAAAGTTGTTCTTGATGTTTTCTTCACTGATCTTGCCAAAGTAGGCGGCCATGACGTCACACATCTTATAGAGGAACTCAAAGACCATGGCGGCGTTGACATTCTGCTTGGTGACAGCTGCCAGCCAGATGTTGGAGCGCTTGACATGGAAGAAGCTGGTGCGGGCAATGTTGGTGACGGGGGAGCGCACCTGCTGCCGGGCGTGGATCACGTTGACGCGGAAGGCGTCGACGGCATTCCGCCTGAAGGGGGGAACAAAGGACTGCTCAGGGGCTAGCGGAGCAACCCTGCGAGGGGGACACCCCCAGCTGCCACCAGCACCCAGGCCCTCCCTTACAGGAGAGGAGCAGCCTCCCTCTCGCCAGGGGTCAAAGCCAAGCTGAGAAGGTATACGGGATGACCGGCTGCCAGGGACTAGGAAAGAGAGGACACCCTCTGGGTGTCTGGGCAGGCCTAGAAGAGTAGGTGACTGACTGCCAGGCCTGGGCCTCAGTCGCCTTCTACAGGCTAGCTGCATCTCCCTGGTGAAATGGGCCCAGGCCGCCCAAGACACTAAACGTGAGGAGCCACATGAACATTCGGAATGGCTGTGGCCTCCAGAGGCCACCCTGCTGGCCAGCCCCCAGAGGGCCAAGGCGGCGGCCCATTCTCGGGGGTGGGGAGGGAACCCAGAGCTGTTCAGCAGGGACTGGAACTGCCCAAGCTTGATCTGAATTGGATTCCTGGGCAAGTGGAGGGGAAGGGGGGAAGAGGGTGGCCAAAAATCAGGGTTGCGGGCAAGATGCCCGATGCCCACCTATGCCAAAGGCTGCAGCTGGCAGGCCGCTTACCTATTGCTATGGCAGCCAATGAGATGGGATGAGAAAAATGATGCCAACGAGGAGAACAGTGACAGCAACGAGAGAAAGGGTTAGACGGACACACGGACACACGGACACACAGACAGAGGAGGCCCATGGCTCAGGCTCAGTCTCCGGAGGCCGGCAAAGCCCCGGCGTGCAGCGGGCAGCAAGTCCATCGGGGGCACCACAAATGCCATTCTCCTCAAGGAAGCAGCTGCCCTCCCACCCCTCCCCAGCGGCTCCGGCCCCCTAGCCCCCTCAGGTGCACTGATTCTGCCACATCTCCCAAGAGCCAGGGAGCCTAGCCCTAGGCTGGGGCGAGGAGAAAGGTCCAGCTCAGAGCAGAGGGGCCAGGAGTGGTGGAGGAAGGGACAAGAAGCAGTGACTGGAAGGGCCCTTGGGGTCATCTAGTCCAGCTACCTCCCTCATTCTTACAGATGGAGAAACAGAGATGGCAAGTGACTTGCCCAAGGTCACACAGCCAGGCCTGGAACCCTAGTCCCAAGAATCCAAGTTCAGGGCTCTTGCCTCTATGCTTGTTAGCTGAGTGACCTCAGGCAAGTGACTTCCCCTCTCTGGGCAGGACTAGATGGCCTGAGGGCTCTCCCAGCCCCCAGCAGGCCAGCCAGGCCCTGCCAAAGCCTTGCCAAGCAGGCCGGAGTGCTTTGGCCAAGCTCCTGCAAAACAATGGAAGTGCATAGTGGGTGTCCTGCCAGCCCCAACCTGGCCAGAGAAGCAGGACTAGACCCAGGCTCCGTGCTTTCCAGCCTTCCTGCTTGGCTCTCCCAGCTGGCGGGCATGCTGGCATCGCGACATGTTCTGTGGGTGGGGACCGAGCCTGCATGCACAGACCACCAGGGACACTCACCCGATGTCATCTCGGTAGACCCGGGAGATGAGCACCTCCCCCTTGTGGTTGTAGATGAAAAGCCCTCCAATCATGGTGGCGACTCAGTCTCCTCTGCCCATGGCTATGAGAACAGACCTAGGGAAGGAGATGGGGAGAAGGTGAGGCCCAGGCCCAGGGCCCCCTGGGGCTCCACTCAAGGAGCTCATCTGCCTCACCCAAAAACTAAGAGCGGTGTGGAGGGCAGAGACTGAGGGCGGGCCAACAGCCAGGAACCCTGCTGCCCCCTGGAGACAGGGGTATGACTCTGGATGCCAATCCCGCCCAACACTCGCTACCAGTGTGACCCTCCCCCCAGCCTCAGTGTCCTCATCTATAACACAAAAGGCTGCAGTGGATTGCCTTTGAGGTAGTCCTAGGCCCACAGGCAGGATGGACAGTGACTTCCTATCTCTCCCCCCCCAGGTCTCCCTTGGGGCACTTGCAGCCCCGAATCACTGAACAGGCCCCAATGACCCCAACCAGCACCAGTGCCTCCATGCCCTGCTTTCCCCAAGGCTTTCTCAGGTGCAGCAGCTGGGGCAAGGAATCTCCTTTGCCCAAGTCTCAGCTGCCCTGTCACAGGCCCAGCCAGGGTCGGGAGCGTCCGATAGGAGTGGGCAGGGCAGAGTAGAGAGGCTCCGCCAGGCAGAGGGGCGACGCCCCAAACACCCGCAGCTTAAGCAGCTTAGCAGAGCTAACAGCTGACTGAGCAGCTCCCTAAGTTCCAGGGTCTGAGAGGGAGGGAAGGGAATGATTCCCACTCTAGGGCACAAAGCCTAGACCCCATTCCTGTAGCTCAGACAGAACTAAGGAGGCAGCCGGGACCCTGGGAAGATGCCAGGAAACCAGAACGCTTGTGCCTGACAAGTCACCACTTACTACTAGCCGACCGTTGCTAGAGCTAGGTGACCTTGGGCTAGCCGCCTCTTTGGGCCTCAGTTTCTTAACCTGTAAAATGGGAGGGCTGAATCGGGCTTGTAATCTGTAAGGCTGATCTTAAAATGCTATGATTTCTCTGATGGTTTCTGGGTCCTTGCTGCTTACAGAAAGGGCCTTACGTGGAAATGCCTGCAATCCTGCCAGTTTCAGAAAGGACTAACTTTATTCTTCCTCTCTGGGATTAAGCCTGGCATTGGTTACTCCCCCCCCCCGCCCACCCAAACTAGACTTCTCAGATACCTTCTAAATGGTCTGTGGGGTACTGCGGAAACAAAGGGTTTCAGGCCAATAATGGGGGACAAAAGAGCCAGAGGGCACAGGGAGGTGAGGCCCCAGCAGTCCAGGATCGAGTGGCAGCTCTGAGCCCAGCACCCGAGGGGAAGAGAGGAAGAGGGGACCCCAAGGGTTTGCTTAAGGAAGAGTGAGTAAAAATGACAGATTTCTGCTTCAACCCAAGAACCCACAACTCCCTCTGAAAGGCATGACATTGGCAGATTTTGAGCAGAATGGGGGGGGAAGGGGGAGAGTGGCTGGAGAAGTTCCTTTCTCGAAAAAGGACAGGGCAGGAATGAGCAGAGGACTGTTTCTGGGAAATCCGGAAGAATGGGGGGGGGGGGGGCGCTCGGGGGAGGGCCAAACTCCGGGGGGTAGGGGGTGGGGGAGGACGCGGCCCTTGTCTGCCGAGGGAAGGGCACCCCAGGGTAAGCCTCTGTCTCCAGCTAAAGAAGAGTCCAGTCCTAGAGGGTGGGTGGGGTCAGTCCCTGGAGTGAGGGAGAGACTGGAGAGGGCCCTGGATCTGATAAAGAGATGATCAGGGTAAGAGACACAAGCAGAGGGAATGAAGAGGGTGGAAGGGGAAGGGGGAGGGGTGGATGAGCCCAGGTAGGAAAGTGGGGAGAGGAGCACTGCCCTGGAACACAAGGGGGGGAGTGAGAGCATTGGGAAGGGGGGTGTGCAGTGAGTGGGTATGGCCCCTGAGGGGCGGGAAGGAAGAGGGGCCTGGCGCCCTCCTAGACGGAAAAGGGGGGAGGTTTTGCAAGGATGAAGAGCTGAGAGTAGACAGGGTCCTGGCCTGGAGGGAGGGGCAGTCGTAGCAGCCAGGGTGGGCTGGGGGGGTGGCTAATGAAGCAGGTAGAACGAAGGGTCCTGGGAGTGAAGGGGAGAGGCCCAGTCTGGGGTTCTTGCATGGACGGAAGGGGAGATGATGGATCAGTCCCGGTGCTGGGGAGAAGGATGCAGAGGTCAGGGCACAACAAAGGAGTATTTCCTGGTAGGGATGGGGTTGGGAGTGTCTTGGGGGGGGATCAGGAAATGCCATGGCTAGGTGGCATCTCCCTTGGAAAAAGGCATCAGCCCCATAGCTGTCGGGATGGGGCAGAGGCAGGCCCCTTCTTGTGAAGGCACAGGCAAAGGGCCTGACCCTTTGGGCACAGGAAGAGGCCGTGCACTCCAGAGTTAGGGGGGTGAATTCCCATGGGGGAGGCGAGGCCTGGCTTGGGCCAGGAAATGGGAGACAATGGCTCCCTCCTGAAAGGAGGGGGGGATGGGAGGGCAGGGTCCTTCCACACACAGCCAGTGAATCTGAGTAATGGGAGCAGCACCTCAGAGTGCCTGTCCCCAGAGGGTCCGCCCCAGGGTAAGGGGCTGTGGAGCAGGAGCCAGGGGGGCTCTTCTGCAATGGCAGGGAACACAGAGTTCTAGGTTTGGGGCCAAAAGAGACCCTGATGATTATTTCCTTATTTTAACTAAGAGGGAACTTTAATCCCAGAGAGGCAAAGTGCCTTGCCCTAACTCACAAAGCTACTAAGCAGCAGAGGCAGGATTCACACCCAGGACCTCCAAATCCAGTGCTGTCTCAGCTGTCTCATGTTGCCCCTGGGGTACAGCAGGGAAAGGGGTCTGTCCTGGGGGGGAGGGCAGCTGCCTATGGGGAGAAAAGGAGGGGTCTGCCAGAGGGGTCGGGCTCCCAACCGTGGGGGGTATGTGTGGAGCATGGCAGGGGGGCAGCCCTAATCGGTGGGGGGCGGGGTTCCGATACTGCCCTGGCCCTCTCCTGAAGGGATCAGTCTGGTCCCTGGGGGGAGGGCGGGGTCGTCCAGGCGCTCACGGTCCGGAATAGGGGAGTTGGGCGGCTGGGCAGGGGCCAGCGCAGCTGGGGACAACGGCGCCCTTATCTGGGGGGGGCCTCGGTGTCCTCGGCCCAGACTGGTCAGTCCAGGTCCTGGGGCGGGGGGTCCCGAAGACCCTCCAGGGAGGGGGGGGTGTCCGTGGGGGGCGTCCTGGGGGGGGGGGGTCCGGGTCGGGTCTGGGGGCGTCCAGGCCCGCCTCCCCACCCCCTCCCCCGCCGCGCCCCGAGGCATCCATTGATCTCCGCTGCGCTCGGGCCCGAGCCCCCCGCGCCCCTGCTCACCAGGCGCCGCCGCGGCCCGTCCGTCCGTCGGTCGCTTGGTCAGTCGATCCGTGCGAGGGTCCGGCTCCGCCGCCGCCGCCGCCGCCGCCGCTCCCAAGATGTCCGCCCGCCCCCCGCCCGCGGCCTCAGCTTTCACCGCAGTGCCGGCTCCGCCCCGGCCTGCCTACCCCGCCCGGCTAGGCCCACTGCGCACGCGCGTTAGCTCTCCCCGGACTACGACTCCCAGCGGGCCCCTCGGCGCAGGCTCGGGGCACGCGCAGGCTGCACCGCACTACAGCTCCCAGCAGGCTCCGGGGGCCCTTCCCGCTCCAACCTCGCCTCTTTCGGGAAAAGAGTCTCCCAGCATGCTTCGCTCCGTTTTTTCACAGAGCTTGCTGGGAAATGTAGTCGGACTAAGTCCCTCCCTGTCTACTCCCCTGGGAGGCTGGATTAAGAGCCGGAAGGAGCTTTAGAGGTCATGGATCCAGGGCTTAGGGCTGGAAGGGACCTTGGAGGCCACCCGAGTCCTACCCTGCCGTTTCACAGATGAGGAAACTGAGGCCCAGAAAGATGAAGAACCTGGCACCTAGTGGATGCTTAATAAAATGCTTGTTGATTGATTGCCCAAGGTCACACAGGGAACATCCAAGGCGGAATTCGAACCCAAGTCCTTTTACTTCAAATCCCCATCTCGGACCTTAAAAAAAACCGAAAACTCATGGGTTTGGAACTGGGAGGAAAGTCCGAGGCCATCCAAGTCCCACTGTCTCATTGGAGAGGTGGACGCAGCCCCGGAGAAAGAACCCGAAGGTCCCCTGGCTCCCTCGGTCCAGGGCTGCACCCTCAGGCTCTTGCCTGACCAGCAGGCATTCCTCCAGACACGACCCTGGCACAGACAAAGAGGACAAACTTTTCTAGACCCCAAATTCCTGAAGTGGAGCTTGGTCCACGTTACTCCCCTGCTCACCAAGCTGCTGGGGCTCCCTCTTGTCCGTAGGACAACACAGTAAACTCTGGGTGGCTTGTGGAGCCCTTCTCCACCTTATATACAGTATTCCCCTTTATGCACTCAGGGTCTGGCCAAAATTGCCTCGACCATGACATTCCACTTCCCACCTCCAAGCCTTTGCACAGGCTGTGCCCCTTCCCTGAAATGTACTTCTTCCTCCCCTCTTCTCCCTGGCATCCCTAGCTCCTCCCTTCCAGACTCGGCTTTCCTGGGCATCCCCTAATGACTTTGTATTTACTTTATGTGTATAATTTTGTATCGATTTTTCTGCTTGCCTACTGCTTTTCCACAGGGACCTCCTTGAGGTCAAGGACTGTTCTGGGGGTTTTGTCTTTGTCGAACAATGCTTGTTGAATGACTGACTGACTGGCCACCAGGGGTCTCCAGACCCCTAGTAGTTCTAGTTCTGGGCTAAGACGCCAGCAAAAGCCCACTAGAGACACAGGGCTGGCAGGGACCCTAATTAAGGACCATCACTTTACAGCTAGGGAAACTGAGGCCTAGAGAGGGAGGGTGCCCAAGTGCCCTGAGTTCACCTCACCCCACATACTGTCTCCCCTGATAGAATGAAAGCTTTTTGAAGGCAGGGACTGTTAAATTATTTTTAATCCCCAGCGCCTGGTACATAAGAAGTACTTAAGACATGTTTGTTGGACTGACTGATTTTTTTGACCTCAGCAAGACTTACTGGAGGTCTGAAATCTCAACTCTGGTTTTTTCGGAGCCAGGAGCTCTAATCCCAGATTCTTTCCTTCGAAGACCCAGGACAGTCATCCTCCGACACCAAGGTCCCATGTGGTTTGTGCTCAGAACTGAAAGAAGTCTGTTCTCTCGGGCTGCTCCTGGGCCTGGGGAGGCCACATCCCTTAGGCTGAGACTGCCCCCAGGAAGCCCAAGTAAAGGCATCTGCCACCCAAGGAGGGAGGTGGGGATGGGAGGGAGGACATGGGCAGAAGCGGGCTGCTAGAACCAGCATGCAGCCAGAGGGACCATTCCACTCCAGGGCAGATGCAGAGAGGGAAGGCCCAGGCTTCAGTTCCAGCCTCCCCCCGCCCCCACCAAAGGCTGAGAGCATTCATTTCTCCTTAGCCTGGCACTCAAAGCCTTCCACCCATGAGACCCCAAATCTGCCTTTGAAAGCCCACTTCAACATTTATTTATTAAGCACTTGATGAATGCAGGGCACTGTGCTAGGCATTGTGGGGATACGTCAAGTTTGAATAAACCTCAGCCCCTGCCCTCATGGAGGGATAGAACAACTGTGGCAGCAATGAGCCTGAAGGCAGGATGACTGGAGTTCAAATCTGGCCTCAGACACTTCCTAGCCAGGCATTTAACCTTTGCTTGCCTCGGTTTCCTCAACTGTAAAGCAAAGATAATAATAGCCCCCCACAACTGTTGTGAGGATAAAATGTTTCTAAATTAGCACAGTGCCTGGCACATGGTAGGTGCTCTATAAATGCTATTCCCCCCCATGCCCCCCACTACACATCACTGTAGTACAGAAGTGCTGACTAACAGTGGAAGGGAAGTCTGATCCCCAACATGGAGCATCATGGAAGGCTTCTGGGAAGAAGGGGTGGGAAGTGAGCCAAGCCCCATCCGGGCAAAGGAATGGAGGCAGGAGAGGGCAGGGTACACTCGAGGGCAGTCCGGAGTCCTGTTTGGCATTAGGCACATAGAGGGCAGGAAACTGGGGGGAGGGGAGGGGGAAGCCAGGGCGACGCTGGATCTTAGGGTAATCTTGAATACCAGACGAGCTTGACTCAGTGGGCAATAGGGAGCCACGGGAGAGGTGTGAGCAGAGAAGTGAGAGGGCTAGACTTATGTGTGAGAAAGATGATACTGTCACTGCTGGGAAGACTAAGCTGGAGGAGGCAGAGAGAAGAGTCCAGTAACGTGGGATTGACTAGGGTAGGGGCAGTGGGAATAAGGAGAAGGGGTGACACTGGGGGAAAGAGTGCGAGCGTGGATTCGACAGAGCTTTGATTGGGGGTGAAAGGAAGGCGAATGGTCTTATGGTCATAGATTCAAAGCTGAGGCCACAGAGTCAAGCCCCCTCATTTTACAGATGAGGAAAGTGAGGCAGACGGGTTAAATGACTGGCCCAGGGTCACATAGCTAGTAAACATCCACCGTGGGATTCCGAGTCCAGTGACCTATCCCCTACCCCATGATTTAACATTGGGGATAACCCCACGGTTTTGAGCAGGGAGACTGGGAGATTGTGGGGGCTGCTGACCAGAAGATGAAAACAGAAAAAAGAGGCACATTCTGGCCAAATGAAGGCCCGTTTCCGAATCCACCCTGACTCTTCTTCCTTTCAGGCTGTGTTTTCCACCTGGACACCCCTCCCCCAAATCCCCACCCATCCGAAGGCATCCTTGCAAGTCCAGCTCTGGCCGCCATTTTGGGTAGCCTCCTCTGACGGGCTCCTTCGGACCGCGTCTCTCGCTCTGAATTTCACTCAGGATTCTGTCGGTTCTGTTACACCGAATGATGTCTGTATGTGACGTCCTGCCAACTACAAGGTTCTTGAGGTCACAGCTATGTGTCTTCTCCTTCTCCTTCTCGAATGTAACCACCTTGAGGCCAGAGAATGCCTTCATTTTGTGTTTGTACCTTAAGCACCAAAAGTACTTAATAAATGCTATTCGTTCATTCATTCACTCACTCATTCATTGGCTCTTGCATTCTTTTTGGTATTCTTATACACGAAGCTGAAAAAATGTCTAGAATAAAGACTCATTGGAAGAATGTCTCTGGGCTGCCCGCCTTCCTCATCTGTCTGTGCCGGTTCCAGAAACTCCAGCCATAGCACCCTATGCTATTCATTGGGAGGGCATCAGCTGTGGTACCTGGGAGCATTTATTGGAGAAATGACCGAGATTCATACATAGTGAAAGAACCTGAAGGTGGGAAAGGGCCAGAGACCCCAAGGGACACCTGAATCTAGCTGGCAGGTGGGCTCTCGGGCCCTGCTCTGTAGCGGGAAGGGTGGAGGGGAAGCCAAGAAGGCCCTCTAGTTGCTTACAGGCCCTCGTGGGCCGCTGGGATTCCAGCCCAGAAGGGAGGGCCTCTGGGGAGTAAGAAGGGAAGAATCAGGCCCTTATTGGCTGACTCAGAGAAGGAAAGGTGATTGTGGGGAGTGAGGATGTCGGGGGTTCATTGGAGGCTGAGTTAGGAGCAGGGAGTCAGGGCCAGCCCCGGAGCCTAGGATAGCATGAGGAGAGAGTGTAGTGGAGGGGACCGGCCCTGGGTCAGAGTCACATGTAAAAACTGTCTAGGCCCTGGAGAAAAGAGCGTCCAAGACAGGGTACCCTCGAGCGCCAGCCAGACTCTGCCAGAGGCTGAGACGTGCGACCCATGTTGGGATGAGTGGGAGGGGAGGAGGGACCCCGGGGTCATGAGGAGGTAGGACAGGACATCTTCGGGGAGCCCTGAGGGGCCACAGCTGTGGCTGGAGCAAGAGGGGCAGGACTCCTGGTCTCCTCAGGATCGGGGCCTCCCCACGCTGGGTGCTCAGAGAAAGTCAAAAAGCCCGAAATTCTTGGCTTGGTTGAGGAGGAAACAAAGAAAGAAAAGACACATTTAAGGCCCAGGGCAGCCTAGAGGACTTGCTGGTTAGTGGGGTTATGGGGGTGGCGGCAACCAGCACACGGGCATCGGTAGCAGCAGGACGTTAGATGGGAGGGCCAGGCCCCATCCAGGGCATCACTGCCTGTTGGGCCCGCCTGGGGTGGGGGCATAGGAAGCTCCACGGGCCTGGGGAGGGTTAGTGAGGATGGCAGCAGATCCAGGAGGTCAAGGGTTGAGGCTGCAGGCAGGAAGAGGGGAGGGAGGGGGCTGTTCCTTGGGGGGAGGGGGCGGGAGCGAGGGAGGCATTGGCCGTGCCTGTCAGGTTTCAGATCGGGTCAGTCTGCCTTCCTGTGTCTGTGTCTGCAGGGTAGTCTCTGTGTGTAGTCTGCGAGGCTGCCAGTGTGTGTGTGTGTGTGTGTGTGTGTGTGTGTGTGTGTGTGTGTGTGTTGTGTACTCTGTGAGGCTGCCAATGTGTGTGTCTCTGTGTGTACTCTGTGTGAGGCTGCCAATGTGTGTGTGTGCATGCATGCGTGTGTATATGTCTCTGTCTACTCTGTGAGGCTGCCAACGTGTGTGTGTGTGTGTGTCTCTTTGTCTACTCTGTGAGGCTGCCAATGTGTGTGTGTGTGCGTGTGCGTGTATGTCTCTGTGTGTACTCTTGAGGCTGCCAGTGTGTGTGCGTGTGTGTGTGTGTATCTGTGTGACTGTCTGTACTCTGTGAGGCTGCCAATGTGTGTGTATGTATCTGTGTGTACATGTGTGTGTCTCTGTGTGTACTCTGGGAGGCTGCCAGGGTCTATGTGTGGCACCCAGTGATGTGGCATTCATGGAGCTGAGCCGGCACTCACTCGGGTTGGCATGAATGGGGAGGGAAGATTCCCATAAGGAATCCCGAGCATGGGATCCTGGTGGAGGTGTAGGGGGCGGACGGGGAGCCAGGCTTCCCTGAAGGGGCTGCAGGAGCCCCAGGGCGTGGTTAGGGGGCAAGGGACCAGCGGAGGGAACAACCAGGGATGGGTGGCAGCGGCTGGAGGTAGGTTAGCGGCCCAAGGCGGCGGCGGCAGCAGCGGCCCTGAGGATGCCCCCTCCCCCTCCCCCCACCAGTGGTCAGCCCCCCAGTTCAGTTCACTTCAGTTTATTTCCCTTTGTTTAGTTACCAGACAAGTAAAAACAGCTGACTGGTGACGGCACCAGCCCTGGGGCCTGGGGGATGGGGCAGGGGCTAGAGAAGGGACGGGAACCGCTCACATCACATCCACAAAGAACTCACTGGGGTTTCCCATGGCCATGCGGAAGGACTGTCTGCTGGCGGTCAGTTCTGGGGGCACCGAGGCCAGGTCTCGGCCCGGGGGGGCTCCGGGGGGGCCCATGGCAGCGGGCGGAGGGGGCATCATCAGCATGGGCGGGCCGTACAGCGGGGGCACCCCCGGGGGCCCGTAGGACTGGTGCGTGTGGTGGCTGCGGAGGCTGTGGGCCAGCGAGTGGTGGCTGCGGACACTGTGCTCGCTGGCGGCTGGGCCCGAGCGCTCGCTGGGGGCTCGCTCCCGCCTCAGGCTGCTTCGGCTCGTGTGGTCCGACTCGCTTCCGCTGCCCCCCGACTTGGAGTCCCCAGCCTTCGGGTCCTTTTCCTTCCGCCGGTCGCTGCCGCTGCGGTTGGAACCGCTGCTCCGGCTGCCTGATAGGGGAATGGGGAGGGGGAGGTGTGAGGGTCTGATCCCAGGAAGGAGCCCCTGTCTGGCCACACCGCCCACCCCAGGGCCCAGGAGCAGCTTACCTTCACTGTGCTGGCTGCCCGCACTGCCCCCACCGCCGTAGCTATACCCTGGCTCCGGGAAGCCGGGGTGGGGGTTATAGGGATGTGGGGGGGGTGGGTACTGGTAAGGGAAGGCCATGGGCCATGGGGCGGCCCCGGGGTGTGGGAGAGGAGCCAGGGTGTCTTGGTCTGAGGCCCCACTGGAGCCGTCCTGGTCGTGCAGGGACAAGTTAGCCATGTCTGCAAAGGAAAACCAAGAGAGTGGGCTTCAGGGGCTGGCCCCCACCCCTGCCTCCATCCCCCCCACCTCACATCTCAGCTCCAAGGCCTCCAAGGGCCCCTCTACAGCACGGCCCTCAAGGCTGGGCCTGCACTTGCCGTGTCCTGCCTTACTGTGTACATTCCAGACAAGCCGGAAAATGCACAGGACTCAGCTTTAGAGCTGAAGAGGACCAGAGAGGCCATCCAACACAACCGTCTTATTTAACACCTGAGGGAACTGAGGCCCAAGGAGGGTAAGGGGCTTTGGATCAAAGATCTTTTTTTCAGTCATTTTTATGATCCTTTTTTGGGTTTTCTTGGCAAAGATACTAGAGGGGTTTACCATTTCCTTCTCCAGCTCATTTTATAGATGAGAAAATTAAGGGAAACAGGGTGAAGTGACTTGCCCACACCACTAGTAAGTATCCAAGGCCACATTTGAACTCAGGTCTTCCTGACTCCAGGCCCAGAGCTCTATCCACTGCGCCACCTAGCTAACCCCATCACAGATCTAGAGTTGTCTTTTTTCCTGATTCTTGTTTTAAAAAATGTTATTTTTCAATAAAAATTTCAATTTATTTAAAAATGTTTACAATTAAAAAGCTTTTACTCATTAAAAGTCTGCCTTTCCTCCCTCCCACTGCTCTCCTTCCCCACCTCCTCACACTCCATTAAGAAAGCAAGAAAAACCACATCCCTGTTACAAACATGTATAGTTGAGCAAAATGAAATCTTGTATTGGCCATGTCCAAAAAAATTTTGAAAGATATAGAAATAGAAGGGTCCTCAGAGGTCATCTGAAGCAACTCTTTTATTTTACAGATAAGGAAACTGAGCCCCAAAGACATAAAGTGATTTGCCTATAGGCAGTAAGTGGCAAAGTTGGGATTCAACCTCCGACTCCAAACCCAGTGCTCTCGGGGCCTCAGTAAGTCCTCGTACAAGCAGCCCCCCCCCCCCCCCCCCAACACCTTCCCCTTCTGGGTTACCTTGACAGACTCTGTCTATATCTTTTATGTAGCTACATATTCAGCCCATTGTTTCCCTGGTTAGAATGTAAGCTCCCTGAGGGCAGGGCTTGCTTTTTGCCTCTCTGTACCTCTAGGATTTAGCACAGTGCCTGGCACACGGTACTTAACTAGTGATTCCTCCCTCTGGACTTTGCTCACGCTCTTCCTTATACTGAGGATGCCCTCTTCCTCTCCTATAGAAACCATCCTGAAGCAGTGCACAGGCCAGCTCAAAAGTCACCGTTCCTTGACGGATGGAGCATGGTGCAATGGTTAGGGCACTGAGTTTGGAGTCAGATTTGGGTTCAAACCCTGCCTCTGATGCTTTCTACCTTAGTTTCTTCAATTGAAAAATGAGAGGATTGAGGCCTCTTCAGGCTCTATCATCCTGTAATAAATGTTTTTTGTTTTTTTGTTGGCTTTGGTTAAGTGACTTGCCCACGGTCACACAGCTAGAAAGTGTTATGTATCTGAGGCTGGATTTGAACTCAGGTCCTCCTGACTCCAGGGCCAGTGCTCTATCCACTGCGCCACCTAGCTGCCCCCATAAATGTTGATTGAATGATTGATTGAATGATCCAGGGAGACTTACCCCGATGGAGAAAGGCATGGACTAAGTCTGCCTGCCCCACCAAACTGGATTACCCTTCCCCGCTGCATTTGGGTAATGGGATTTGAGTTCCAATTGAGTTCCAATTCCTGGTTCTGTTACTTCCTGCCTATGTGACCTTGGATAAGTCACTTAACTTCTCTAGGCTTCTGTTTCCCATCTACAAGTACATGTACAAGGGGTTGGACGATATGATTTCAAAGGTCCTTCCCAGCTCTAAATCCTACAAACTTACTCCACTATTGTATGACTGTTAGCAGGACCCCTTTCCCCTCTCTAGGCCTCAGTTTCCCCATCTGTAAAATGAAGGGGCACATGACCTTGAAGGTCCTTTTCAGCTCCAAGTTAATTTATAAGTCTATGAGTTTCACCCTTTAAAGTTCTCAGATCTTTAGTTCCCAAAATGTAGGGATGACCATTTAGGACAAGGCCTCTTAATGTAGGGTCTGAAAACTTCAAAAAAAAAATGCATACTTGTATTGGGCAGAGGATGGAGATGAGGAGGAAGAGCACTCCAGGTATGGGGGGCAGCCAGGAAAACGCCTGGAGCTGGGGAATGGAGTGTCTTGTCCCAAAAAGAGCTAGGAAGCTAGTCTCACCGGATCACAGAGTCCATGGCAGCGGTGGAAAGGGTCAAGGAGTAAGGTATGAGAAAACTGGGAAGGTAGGAGGGGGTGCCAGGCTATGAAAGGCTTCAAAGGCCAAAAGAGTATTTTGTATTTGCTCCTGGAGTTTACTGAGTAGGGGGTGTCATGGTCAGCTCAGTTGCTTAGGAAAATTCCATCATCACCACTGCACTGGCTATACTCTCCTCCCTTCCCTGAATTGACTTCTTGGTGAAGCAGTTCAAAGTTACACTGGCCTCTTCTAAGTCTTTTGCCCCCTTACTCTCTCCCCAATGATGCCCCACCAAGCTTCAGCCTTGGATCACCCCAGATATCTGCTGCCTTTGCTCCTGTTCACATATTACTAGAGAAATCATTCAACTGCCCTGATTGAGTACATTACAAATTTATGCTACATAACCTCAAGTGGGCTCTTGCTTTTACATCCTCTAATTCAACTCACTCTCCCACTCATTCCAGCAGCTCTTCCAAACCTTCTCATCCCTCCTCAGGTCTCTCATGGCTTCCCTTCTCCTCACTTCTCAGCTGAGGACTTTGCCTCATATTTTACTGAAAAGACTGAGGCCCTTTGACGTGAAGTCCTCCTTCTCCCCTCATCTCATGTCACGCAGATGCCTTCTGTTACTCTCTCCTCCTTCGTCCCCGTCTCACATGACAAGGTGGTCCTTCTCCTTGCCAAGGCCCCTCTACATGCACAAGTGATCCCCTTTCACCCCATCTTCTTCAGCAGATTAGCTCCTGTCTCATTTATACTCCGTCTCCACTTGTTTATTGGCTGCTTCCCTATGGCCTACAAACCTTCATATTCCTCGCACTTACCACAGTACCTTGAATACAGTAGGTGCTTAATAAATGTTTGTTGACTGACTGAAACATGACCATGTCTCCCCCAACCCCTCAAAAGCCTCACCTGATACATCCATCCCCTCTATCGCCTCATATCTTTCTTGTCTTCTGTGGCTAAACTTCCTGAGAAGGCTGTCTACAAAAGGTGCCTCCACTTCCTCTATCTCACTCTTTTAACTCCATACAGTCTGGCTTAAAACCATTATTCAACCAAAACTGTCCTCTCTACAGTTACCAGTGGTCTCTTAATTGCCCAATCCAGCAGTCTTTTCTCAGTCCTCACCCTTCCTGTCGTCTACAGCCTTTGACACTGTTCATCACCCTCTCCTCCATGGTACTCTCTTCTCTCCAGGTTTTTGGGACATCACTCTCTCCCAGTTTTCCTCTTACCTATCTGACTGCTCTTTCTGTCTCCTTTGCTGGATCTTCATCTAAATCACAACCATTTCTCCCACTATACTATCTTATTTGTTATCTCATCAGCTCCTAGGAATTCAATGATCATCTCTATGCTGATGATTTTCAGATACACTAAGCCAGTCTTAACCTCTCTCATGACGTCCAGACTCACAACTTCAACTGCCTATTGGACATTCCTAAACATCTTAAAGTTAACTACTTTAAAACTGAAATCACTCTTTCCCTCCAAACTCTCCCCTATTCTAGATTTCTCTATAACTGTCTCAGATACCACCATTCTCCCAGTCACCCAAGTTTGCAACCTGAGCTCCTCATTATCTCATACTCTGCCCTGCTCAGGCCCATATCCAGTCTATGGTCCAGCCCTGTTGATTTCACCTCTGCAGCACCTCTTGTCAGTCTCACCCTTAGACCATCT